TGATTAGTGTAGGTTTTGGCTCACATGTTGGTTTGCCTGGCGGGATACATTGACTTGGCCCTCTCCTTTATGTCCTCTTTGTCCAAGAAGGAAACTTCCCTCTCCTTGGACAATTCTCTTAACTACTCTGTGTTCTTCCCCTCCCCTTGGAAGAGGGGTTAAACAGAATCTCCAGCTTCTCTGTTACCAGAGCAATCCACAAAAAGAAGAGATTATTAGACTCCCTGTAGTTGTGTGTCACATCACCAACCCTTGTCCATATGAGGCTGACAGCTTTCATCCCCTCCTGAAAAAGATGAGGGGTCACATTCCAAAAACATCCTTTGAGAATCTCCTACAAGCACCTATTCCAATGGCGAAAGGAGTTCTCAGGAAGAAGAATATGCAACATTTGAGCCTGTCAGTTAAGTGGCAACTTTTCCCATATTTTCATTAAAAACATTTTTTTTAAAGATTTAATTTGAGAAGGAGAGAGAGAGAGAGAGCAGAGCAGGAAGGAGGGGCAGAGAGAGGCAGGCTCCCCGCTGAGCAGAGATTTTTTTTTTTCCCCCACCCCCACCCCCCAACCAACACAGAGCTTGATCCTGGGACTCTGGGATCATGACCTGAGCAGAAGGCAGATCCTTAACTGACTGAGCCACCCAGGCACCACCCTCTCATATTTCCATTTTTGAAAACTTTTCCACTCCCTCCCCCTTCCTTTCCAGGAAGGATTTTACAGGGTGATGCTGAAGTCTGGAGGTGATGGCAAATCTTTGGTGTATGGAATGGGAATTTCTTCTAGAGTACTTCAAGGAGTCTAAGTACATTTCTGTAGATCATTCCATTTGTGTGTGGAAACAGACTGAGAGGATAATGTAGGCTAATGGTTGAGAGCATGAGTGGGGAGGAGGGGGAGAAGCAGGTTCTCTGGGATCATGACTTGAGCCAAAGGCAGATACTTACTCAACTGAGCCACCCAGGTGTCCCTCTACTTTAAAAATATTAATAGTTGGCATTGATGGATCACTTACTATGTGCCAGGAACCATATATGTTATGTTGTTTTTTAAAAAAATATTTTAGGGGCGCCTGGGTGGCTCAGTGGGTTAAGCCGCTGCCTTCGGCTCAGGTCATGATCTCAGGGTCCTGGGATCGAGCCCCGCATTGGGCTCTCTGCTCAGCAGGGAGCCTGCTTCCTCCTCTCTCTCTCTCTCTCTCTCTACCTGCTTCTCTGCCTGCTTGTGATCTCTGTCAAATAAATAAATAAAATCTTAAAAAAAAAATAAAAATAAAAAAATAAAAAAATATTTTATTTATTTGTCAGAGAGAGAGAGTGAGAGAGTGAGCGAGCACAAGCAGGGAAAGCGGCAGGCAGAGGGAGAGGGAGAAGCAGGTTCCCTGCTGAGCAGGGAGCCAGATGCAGGACTCCATCCCAGGACCCTGGGATCATGACCTGAGCTGAAAGCAAACTGATTGAGCCACCCAGGCATTTCTGTATATGCTGTTTTACATGCTTTATGTGCATGATCTCACTGAATCCTTACCATAGCCCTGGGAAGTGGGTACTCTCATCAAGCCCCTTTTATAGGTAAAAAAATTGAAGCACAAATTGCTTAAATGGTTTGCCAGAGATTATAGGACCAAATGGTGGAACCAGCACGCACACACATGCAGTCAGACCTCAACACCCATGCTTTGAATCATTAACTTCCTCATAGTGATGGTCTAAGGATTAAGTGAGCCGATATAAATCAGGTCTCTTGCAGAGGTGCTTGGCACATAAAAAAGCCTCAAGTAAATGTTAGATATGGTATTATTTTCAGCCTTGTCATTTGTTCTGAAAAATGTCTGGGCCAGAAAACAGGTTTTGACGTGGGATATTGTGGGGCTACTCTAGTTGACTGCCAGAGGTAAGTGTCTTTTAAACGTCAGACATCTACTATTACCTAAACAATTTGTGTATTATGAGTTACCCGGTTAAGAGACGGGACAAATGGTTAGCAACTTTATCTATTTGCTCATGCAGAAAAGTTCTCCGTACTGGAAAGAACTATGAAGTCTCATAAAAGAATGGCATGCTGAGCAATAGCTGAATTGTAGGCAGGACCAGATTATAAATGATTATGTTTCAAAAGTTCATTTGTCTATTGTCATAAATTCTGAATACATAGAAATAAGGTTGCAAATGGTGGTTACATGCCAAGACTATTCACAGAAGTCTATTCAGCCCATTTTAAAGTTCAATGCTAGAAATCATGCCACTAGCTCAAGGCCAAGCCTAGGAACAAGGGCCCATGTGATAAAATAAAAAGTGTCTTTCCTGGTACAGAGGCAAGTTGAGATTGAGTGTATTAGTTATCTATTGCTCTGTAACAAATTATCCTAAACTTACTATATTAAAACAATAAATAATATCTCACAGTCTCTGTGGGTCATCTGGGAGCAGCTTATTTGGCTGGTTCTGTTCAGGATCTCTCTGGGGTTTCAGTCAACATCTCCTGGGCTACAATCTGAAGGTTTAACTGGGGCTGGTGGATCTACTTCCAATGTGGCTCATTCACATGGCTCTTGGCAGGAGCTCTCCATTTCTTATCACCTGGGCTTTTCTTTGGGGCTGCTGAGTTCCCTGTGACATGGTAACCCTGACTTCCTCAGCACAGCTGATCCAAGAGAGAACAAGCAGGTAGCTGCAGTGCCTTTTATGACCTAGTCTTTTAAGTAATACATTGTCACTATTGTCATATTCTAGTCATTCTAGGCCACATGGTATTCATTAAGAGAAGCTCACATTCGGTGGGAGGGAGATTAAGCTCTATTTCTGGATCGGATGAGTATCAGAATTTGTGGATATACATTAAAATCACTATCTAGTTTTTTATCTCCTATCACTTTGTTTAGATATCCAGTGATATAAAATAGTAAAAATAAATTGGGAGGCAGAACTGCAGCCCTTCCCAACAAAGCTTGCCGTAAGTATCCAAAACAATCCATGTTCTGCCTCAACTTTTCTTGAAAACGTCTATCCCCTTTCCTTGAATGGAATTTTATTTGAACAATTTATAACAAAGAAAGAGCAATCACATTCCTGACATATTTGCTTTATTTATGTGTATTTCTCACTAGCAGAATTTCAGCCAATGAAACAAACTGAAATGAAAAATAAAAATAATTTACTCCTGAGTTGGATGGATTAAGATATTCGGGGTTAGGAAAGCAAGGCTTAGTAAGCACTGTCCCTTCAGCTGATAATGACCTGAGCTCTCTGGTTATTGAATATCCTAGGCAAGGCTGCCCTCCCTGGTCTTGGGAACCATGGCATCTCTCATCCAGGTTTCCTGATCTGACTCCCATGGCTGCAGCTCTGTAGGAGTATGGGGCGCATTCAAGACTGAAGGATTGCTGGGGAGTCCAAAAACATTTGATGCTCTGGCACCCGTGGGATGCAAGATTCTACAGTACCTTCTGAATCTTCAGAGGAAAAGGATGCTCCATGTGACTTTTTATTGTGTATTCTGTAACCTGAAACTTGGTAATCCATGTAGACTACTGTCAAAATACAACATCTATTAACACAGGGTAACTACAATTCAACTCCAAGTGTTAGCTAGGGACTTCCTCTATGAGTTCCCCTGACAATGTTGCTGTTTTAAATCTTAAAATTTGAGTCTTAAACCCTTTTGAGAATATGATAAAAGCTAAGGGACTTAATTCAAGAAAATACATATAAGCCACAATATTTTGCACATGAGTTTAATGCCTCCAGAAGCCCCTAAAACTATCCAAGGAATCTGGATTAAGAATCTCTTAAGACTTCAAGGGAGAAGAGGAGTGGGGAGGCTTATTGCCATTCCATTTCACCATTACAGCTTAGATCTAAATGAGCAACTACTACTCAGAACTCAGTTCTTCTAAATTTGTTGTTGTTAATAGAACCAAAGGCCAACACGGAAACCCCTACTAGATTTTGTGCTTGGGTTTAGTCCATGTTATAAATGGAGGGGAAAGGAACATGGCAGCGAACACACACAGGACAATACATATCTGATGAAAAGCAATCGTAAATACAAAGGAGTTACAATTGCTGACGACCTTGAGAGGGCCTTGCCCTCTCGAAGTTGACCTGACGGTGCAGCAAATTTTGCCAACTTGCCAGAGAAGCAGCAACTCGAGAAGAGAAAGCCGGTTGGTTTCTCACTTGGCAAGAAAGCGCTAAAATCGTTTTCTGCTGCGGATCCGCAACCGAGGTCCTGACCCAAGATTCCAGAGGCCCTCCTCGGGTGGAGCGAGCGAGCTCCGGCAGCAACGCCCAGCCCCGGGCGGGCGGGACCGTTCGAATCTACCCACTTGGTCCGCAGGCCCCGCTTCATCCGCTCCTGCTTCTCCGCCTGGGGAGGTGGCAAGGCTGCGCGGGAGACAGGGGCATCCCTGTGAGTGCCCCTCGGGCAAAGGCAGGCGCGCGGGGCTCCGCTGCCGGGACTGGGGGAACGGGCGGGGGCTGCGGCGCGCGCGCCCCTGCCCCTCCCCTCGCGGGCGCCGCAGCCCTGCGCAGCGGGCCTGCGTGTGCTCCTGCCGACCCCTCCTTCGCGCTCCTCGCCTGCGGCCGCACCGGCGCACGCGCGCGGCCTCGCGCAGGGCGGGGAGAGGCGGCGGCCCCCGGCGTGCGGCCCCGAACCTGTCAGACCCGGGTAGCCGGCCTGGAGCTGCGGGCGCGGCCGGCACGAGGACGGCGCCGCTCCCCGCGCGGCCCCGACCCGAGCTGCGCGAGTCGGCCCCGCCGAGCCGGCCGGGGGCGGGGAGATGAGCGGCGGCCCCGCGGCAGCGCCCCAGGTAGACGCGCCGCCCCCTCGCGGAGCCCCGGAGCCTCCGGGCCAGACTGCGCCCCCGCCGCCCGGGGCTTCGGAACTTGGGGGCAGTGTTGGGGCGCCTTTAATTTATAACGTGTTTCGTTTTCCACAGCATGGGGAGGGACGCGCGGCAGTGCCATCGGGAACTGGCGCTCCGGTGAAGTAGGGGCCGCGGGAGCCGCCGGCCGGCCGCCTGCACCGAGCCGTTCCGTGCGGCGGCCGCTCAGCCTCTGCCATGGCCGGATCCGGCGCGTGGAAGCGCCTCAAATCTCTGCTACGGAAGGACGACGCGCCGCTGTTTCTAAATGACACCAGCGCCTTCGACTTCTCGGACGAGGTGGGGGACGAGGGGCTTCCTCGGTTTAACAAACTTCGAGTTGTGGTGGCCGACGATGGTTCTGAAATCCCAGAAAGGCCTGTTAACGGGGCGCACCCGGCCCTGCAGGCCGACGACGATTCCTTACTGGACCAGGACTTACCTTTGACCAACAGTCAGCTGAGTCTGAAGGTGGACCCCTGTGACAACTGCAGCAGACAGCGAGAGTTACTGAAGCAGAGAAAGGTGAAAACCAGATTGACCATTGCTGCCGTTCTTTACTTGCTTTTCATGATTGGAGAACTTGTAGGTGAGTTGTGTTGCCAACTCACTTTCCATTTACCTTGTCCCGAGGGTTGTTGTCCAGCTTTAGTTACACATGATTTGAGGTTTAAACTTTCTTTTCGGGAAGTTTGTTATTTATCGAGATATTGATCCCGTGATAGGAGGAATCCACACAGTTCCAAAGTGCAGGTCAACCTAAGTAAGACAGAAACTTTCAGAGATAACTTGGACTTTTTCATCTGGTTCTCCAAACACTGTGACACCGACTGTAAAGTTAAGGACATTAGCTTCACTGTTTATCATGTAACTTCCTCTTTAAAAAGTTCTGATAAAACAACCAGGTTAGTTTTTGCATCGTTTAAAACAGTAAATGATCTAAGCGTAGAATCATAAAATTTTACAGTGTGAAGTGACCTTACTGAACATCTTCTCTTCCTTCTTTTTCACACATAAGGAATCTGAGGGCCCAGAAAGTTAAATAAGTTGGGAGGACACTTAGCTGGTTAGTGGAAGAGCCACATCCACAGTCTCCAGCTGCTTACTTTTTTCTCTACATTTGACTTAAGTGGTCTCTTCATACTATTTCTTTTTGCATTTACATCCAAAAGATTTGCAAAATTAAATACTACTGACTTTAAAAGTTTTTCATTATAGTAAGGATCTGAAAAGAACCAGAGGGCTCCTCCAGGGTTCATGAACTTTTCACTTTTTAATTATTCAAGTAATATATTGTCACTCTAAATACATTCTTAGAGGTTAATTTCATAGTCATATTAGTGTAACTGCTAACTTCTCTTAATAACAGTTTACAAAGTGACATTAAAGCAGGGAGATAATTCTGCCTTGTTGTTTCTTAATGATGAACCATTAGAGAACAGAGGTGGCAGTCCAGAATAAGATACTGGCCAGAGGTTAGATGTAGGAAAATTATATACATTTCCTACCTCATTTTATACCTCTCCTCCCCAGTGCGCACTTCCGCCATGCTGGCTTTCTTTCTCCCTGTGACTCACAAAGCTCTCCAGTCCATGAGGCCTTCAAACTGGCTGGTTCCTCCACCTCAGTGGCTTTCAAATTTTCTTGACCTAATTATAGTAAAAACTACACTAGACATTGTGACCCGGGTAGGCATGCATACATACAGATGTATGTATGGATGTACACACACATACATACATGTGTAAATATATGTATAACTAAAACAAAAGTCTGATTTCTTGTGATGCATTCTAGTATTTTTTTGGTATGGCCCCAACCCACTTAATTGATTTTGTGTTCCACAAGTAGATCAGGGCCTGCAGTTTGAAAAACACTGCTTAACTTGGAGTGCCTTTTCCCAAATATTCTCTTGGCTGGTTTCTTGACATTCATATCTTACCCCAAAAGATACCTCTGAGAGACCTTTTCTGATGGACTGAAGTAAGTATCTCATCTCCCTTATTCTCTCCCCAACTTTAAAAACCCTCAGCATCTTGAAATCATCTTGTTTGTATATTCACTTGTTTGATATCTGTCTTCTTCCACTAAAATAAAAGCTACATTCCAAGGAACAGAAGAGACCTTCAATAAACTTTTGTTGAATTAATTTTTATTGTGATAGAGAATTATAAATGCTTAAGCTATAAAGAAAGTAAAAGGCAGGCGTGAAATTGTGGCCAGGTAAGACATAGTCTCTACAGACTAAGATTCAATGACTTGCTCAAATTCACACAGCTAGAATATTGAGTCAGTCAGACTTAGTGATTCTTTTTTTTTTTAAGATTTATTTATTTATTTGAGAGAAAGAGAGCATGTGCACACACATGAAGTAGGAGGGAGCAGAGGGAGAGGAAGAGAAGCAGACTCCCTGGTGAGCAGGGAGCCCTACCCTTGGCATCTCCATCCCACAATGGCTGACTGAGTCACCCAGGTGCCCCAGACTTGGTAATTCTTGAAGTTAATATTTTGTATTTGAAGTTAAAAATTATATTAATCACAATTTTCCCCCTTAAAATTAATTTACTTTATTTTACCTAAGAAAAACTTATTAAGATAAAATTATCCTGACATACCATTTTTGAAATCTCTTATTTGATAAATGTTGTTTTGTGAAAGCCACACTAAGTATTTTATTTAAAATATTGATTTTATTTTCAAAGATAAAAATCTTTTGTTAAATAATACAGAAGTGCTAATGGGGGCACCTGGGTGGCCCAGTCTTTAAGCCTCTGCTTTCACCTCAGGTCATGATTCCAGGGTCCTGGGATCCAGCCCCCATATCACATCCCATTGGGCTCCCTGCTCAGCAGAAGGCCTGCTTCTCCCTCTCCTGCTCCCCCTGCTTGTGTTCCTGCCTTCACTGTCTCTCTCTCTCTCTCTCTCTCTCTGTCAAATAAATAAATAAAATCTTTTAAACAAAATGCTAATAGGATAAGCATTAACAAATATTCAGGATGTTACATAGAATTAAATTGTATATAGTAGAGCATATATTAAAATGTATCAAAAGCACTTAGAAAAAAGGCATCTTATGTAGAAAGTATGGAGTAATTTTAAAAATGAAATAATTTAAAGATCTGAAAGGGAAGACTTGATTTTGAATCTTGGCTTTGCCACTGACTTGTTTTTTGTTTTTTTTTTTAAAGATTTTATTTATTTATTTATTTGACAGAGAGAGATCACAAGTAGACAGAGAGGCAGGCAGAGAGAGAGTGAGAGAGAGGGAAGCAGACTCCCCGCTGAGCAGAGAGCCCAGTGCGGGACTCGATCCCAGGACCCTGAGATCATGACCCGAGCAGCGGCTTAACCCTCTGAGCCACCCAGATGCCCTTGCCACTGACTTGTTTTGAGACTTCAGATAGGTCCATTCTTTTCTTCCTTTCATTCAGCAAGTATTTTTTGTGTACTTGCTCTATGCCAGGCACTATATTTAAAGTATTTGGGCTATATAATTGCAGACAAAACTATTATGAAATCTACTGTCTGAAGCACTTAGTTTAATGGAGAGCACAGATGTTAAGCATATAGACAAATAAATTTAAAATCCATATGGCCTTAAGTGTTATGAAACAAAAGAACAAGGTACTATAAGATAGAGTAACTAGTGGGACATAGTTTATGTGTGAGCCAGGTGCAATTAAACCAAAAGGTAAGAGTTACTCAAGTAGAGGAGTGGAGGAGTTTTCCAAGTCAAGAGAACAGCATGTGCAAAGGTCCTAAAAACCTTCAGTTCTTTAAAAGGACCAAAAAAGAAGGCAAGTTTCACTGGAATATAATAATAAGTAAGAGGGAAAGAGCCCAGACCACCAGATCAGCCAGTTCTGATAGACCATATTATGAGTATAGTTTTTAAGTCTAAGTACAATGAATAGCCAATGAAGGCTTTTAAGTGGAGAGTGATATGATGGGATTTACCTTTTTAAAAGATTATTCTGGGCCTTTTGTGGAGATGGATTGGAGGGTGCAAGAATGGAAGAAAGTAAACTATTGCAGAGGTCTAGACAAGAAATCATGGCTTGGACTGATGTGGATGGAGAAAAATGTACTGACTGAGAAATATTCTAGAGGTAACATTAACAAAATTGACTATTGGCTTAGATGTGGGGGTTGATTCTGAAGTTTCTCACCTAAGAAATTGAGTGTATGGAAATGCATATCATTTATTAGGCAGGGAGAAAATACAAAGCAGGATTTAGGCAGGGGCTCAAGGGTTGTTTTCGACATGTTTATTATTGCATGTACATAAAATAGCCAGTAAACATGTCTTGTGAGCTTTAGATATGAGTCTATAGTTCAAAAGAAAGGTCAAACTAAGAGATACAGTGTGTAGTGCTATCGGAATGGAAAAAAACATCTAAAGAGTCTGTTTTGAGGAACTCCAACTTTAGCAGTCAGGCAAAAAACAAACAGGTATTCCAGAATCTAAGAAATTAAAGTATTTCCAAGTGGAAATAAATAAGTTAAAGCTGCTGATAGGTCTAATGAGTTGAGAACTGGACTATCCTTTGGATTTAGTAATAGTTATTGATTAACAATTGCATTTTTATTGGGAGTGAAAAAGCTTGAAGAATGAATGCAAACAGACTTCCTGATAAAGATGGCAAATGAACTCCTATATCTAAATGTACTTTTTCCTGAAGCCTCTCAAACTACAATAAAGGGATTTCTAAATGTATATATGTTTATAGCCATATATCCATCCACATCTGTGTCTGTGTATGTGTATATATGTCTGCATAGATGGGGAAAACTGGAGAGGAAATAATAACATAAATTTGGCAAACTAGAAAGGAGATAGATAAAAGAAATAACTGACTTAATAGACCCAAAAAAGACCCCTCCTAAGCAAGTAGTTGGGGAATGCCAAGAATCAACCCAGTTTACACTAATTCATCAGAAACACCTAGAGAATTTATTAAAACACACATTGTTGGGTGAGAGCTTCTAATTAAGTAAGTCTGGGATAGGGCCCGAGGATTTGGATTTCTAAGTTCACAAGGGATGCTGATACCAGGGACCATACTGAGAACTACTGCACTTCAGAATCCTAAGTAGGCCCAGAATTGTTTGCAGCTGGTACCCCTAGAAATGGGGTGAAGAGGAAGACTAAAATAAGGAAACAAGTTAAACAGATAAAATAATTATATAGTTAGTATCCACAGAAATAAGAGATATGTATCTACAAGAATAAGCTGTTTTAAAAAAGAAATTCAAAATAAACAACTTTTGAACAATAAAAACAAAAAACAATTTGAACTCCATAAAAAAGTTATAAGATGAAATAAGGTAATCTCTCAGAGTAGAGCAAAACAATAGAAATAGATAATAGGAGAAAAAACACAAGAAAATCAGCATATCAATCTAAACTCCAGGTAATAGGAATTTGGGAAATTGAGAAAACAGGAGAAAAGAAATTGTCAACAATATAGTTTAAGAAATTTCCCCAGAACTGAAGGGTTTACCTTTCCAGGTAAGAAGAGTAAACAAAAACCCAGCAAACTAGGCGAAAATAAAGCCATAGTGAGGTACATCATTGTGAAATTTCAGAATATAGGGAGCACATTGTTATCTATTGCTTCAGGCAGCTGCAGTGTTAAACAATTCCCTCTGATTGTTTTTTGACAAACATTTCTTAGGGTTTGCCTAAGGCAGATCCCCAAGTCAAGTCAAAACAGCCTTACTTGTATGATTTTCCAGGGAAGTACCAGGCAGATCAAATAATGATAGTTCTTTGGGAATGGGGCTTGTAAGGAGCTCTAACCACATTTTATACCTTGCAGTGGCTGCCAGGCTAGTTTTCACTATGGTTGCTGCTTGTTGATTTTCAGGTCAACCACAGAGCAGGAAAGAGGGTGATGGGTCCAAGGCTACAGAATGTTCACGGTTCTGATGAAGATTCAGTTGTTTTCTTTGAGTGAATACTACCTATAACAGCCTCTGGTTAATTTCCAGAGTTCTAAAAAAGTTGATTTGGACCATTTTTCCTAGGTTCTCATTACTTCCATAGAGGAGATGATTTTCAGAGGTCCTTACTCTGCTATTTTTTGCTGATGATTATCAGCACATGGCTCTTTAAATTTAGGTTAACTAAAATTGAATAAATCCCTCAGTTGCCTTATCCATATTTCAAATGCTGAAAAGCTACTGTGACTAGTGGTTCTGGACAGCACAGATAAAATATTTCCATCATCTCAGAAACTTACTGGACAGTATAGCTTTAAGGTGTTATCTTTATTTTATAGATAAGGAAACTGAGGCTCAAAAGTATTAAGTAACTTTCTAAGAGAGTCTCAGAGAGTCCAAAACCCCATGTTATTAGCCACCAACTTACATTTTTCTCAGTGATTTTCAGCTCTTTAATGTCAAGGGAATACATTAAAAAAAAAAAAAAAAAAGTGGTATTTGTATAGAGCACACTGGAGTAAATGGATGTGATTATAAGATCACTAGCTTTGTCTCCTGCTGCTCTTGCCTCTGCACATCATGCCATTAAAGAGGGGAACAACAGCTCAGCACACTTATGTGTCATAATACCCTGGTCAGGAAGTTAATTGTAACAGTGATGCTCAAAATTACCAAGACCAGAAGCATCCACATCACCTTGGGAACATGTTAAAAATGGAAATTCTCCTTAAAAAAAAAAAAAAAGGAAATTCTCAGGCCTCATCCAGCCCTCTGGAATTAGAAATTCTGGGAGTGGGGACCTGGGTGGCTCAGTGGGTTAAGCCTCTGCCTTCAGCTCAGGTCATGATCTCAGGGTCCTCGGATCGAGCGCCGCATCGAGCTCTTTGCATAGCAGGGAGCCTGCTTCCCCCTTCTCTCTGCCTGCCTCTCTGCCTATTTGTGATCGCTCTCTCTGTCAAATAAATAAAATCTTAAAAAAAAAAAAAAAAGGAAAGAAATTCTGGGAGTGGGGCAAGCAGTCTGGTGTGTTTAACCACAGGATTCTGATACACATGAAGTTTTGTTATAAAAAGCTTATTCAATGAAAAAAAAAAAAAGCTTATTCAATGAATGGTGCTAGGACAATTGGTTAACCAATAGTAGAATGACATACATATATATATACACACGTATATACACACACACATACACAAAATGAATTTTATATTTTATATATACATACAATGCCTGGAAAATCAACATTAAAAATTTTATTCTAAATACCACCTTTAATCTCTCTGAGACACTGCTGTCTGTACCCAAGGGAATCTGTTAATCTTTATCCTTCATTTTGAACTAATGTACTTTTTTTAAAATAATTTTTTAATTTTTTATTAACATATAATGTATTAGCCCCAGGGGTACAGGTCTGTGAATCACCAGGTTTACACACTTTATAGCACTCACCATAGTACATACCCTCCCCAATGTCCATAACCCAACCACCCCGTCATGTACATTTAAAAAATTTCTTCAGTTTAATTTTGTGGTCAAACCTTCATAAACAAGTATCTACCTTCAGCCTTCTTGTAATATTTAGATATTATGGTCATTAATTTCACTAATAGTAGGATTAGTAGGTTGAGTAAAAGCTGCAGTGCTAAAACAAAATTTCTATGTGTTAGAGCCCAATTTAATGGTTCTTAATTTTTTTTCAAGATTTTATTTATTTGAGAGAGAGAGCATGAGCTCAAGCAGGGGAGGCAGCAGAGGGAGAGGGAGAAGCAGATTACTCGTTGAGCAGGGAACCCGACATGGGGCTTGATCCCAGGACCCTGAGATCATGTCCTGAACTGAAGGCAGACAGTTAATCAGCTGAGCCACCCAGGTGCCCCGGTTCTTAATTTTTTTAAGGTCATCGACTCTTCAGAGAATCTGTTTATAGAAATGGACATCTTGGGGCGCCTGGGTGGCTCAGTGGGTTAAAGCCTCTGCCTTCGGCTCGGGTCGTGATCCCAGGGTCCTGGGATCGAGCCCCGCATCGGGCTCTCTGCTCAGCGGGGAGCCTGCTTCCTCCTCTCTCTCTGCCTGCCTCTCTGCCTATTGTGATCTGTCTGTCAAATAAATAAATTAAAAAAAAAAAAAAAAAAGAAATGGACATCTTCACCACAAAAATACACACATATTTAATGTTTGGTATAAAATTTCAGGATATCTTGATTTAATTGTAATAGGATAAAGATTTAGTTAAAAGCTGAGATTTTGTAGGATGTTACATATTTTTGGTTTGCTTATGTTTATTATTTTAAACATTATTCTAATTATTCATTATTTTAACTTATTCCTTCTTCCCTCTCACCTTTACCCCAAGGTGGATACATTGCAAACAGCCTAGCAATCATGACAGATGCGCTTCATATGTTAACTGACCTAAGTGCTATCATACTGACCTTGCTTGCTTTGTGGCTCTCTTCAAAATCACCAACCAAAAGATTCACTTTTGGATTCCACCGCTTAGGTAGGTAATTGGAGTTTCTTTCGGTTTATAAGATTTCATAGTAAAACCACAATGAACTGTAACTAGCCTCTGAGTAACTGAAGTCTTTCTGGTGATAACCTATTTGAATAAAGCAGATGAAAATAGATAAACAAGATTTATTCAAATACATATACTCCAGGGTACATTCGGTCTAGTCAGCTAAACAGTTTACACATACCCAATAATACAGTAATCACTAACTGTTGTTCCCTATTTCCTGAAGATGTTAACAAAAAAAAGTTTACCTTATAGTTTATTCAACTAGGCAAAACCACATGGGTTTATGCTAATGTGTATTAGCTTCTTTCTCCACACTTCGGTATTCCAACCAAAGCTACATAGCCCAGATCTTAAGCAGTACTATATGTTTCACATATACCGTGTGGCTAAGCTTCATTGCTGCCATTGTATCATCATAATTCTGTAAATGCTGATAAGGATTCTTTGCTTGACCAAAGTTTAGTCAGGAAACTTAATCTCCAGAGCCCATCTGTGCACTTCCTTAAATAATCCTGTTTTAGCAAGAACCCTGCTAAGTCAGTTGAATAGAACCCCCACTCTCAGTATCTGGTAGGTCATCTCACAGGTGATATCTCATTGCACTGGCCTGTCTCTAGTGAAAATTCTCTTAGGTCAGTTTAGCCAGAATCCCCCTCAACCCTTATGTTTCCTCTTAGTAATTTTCCATCCACTGACTTGCCCATAGAGTATTCAGAGCTGAACCCAATCTCTCCCCACCCACTGCAGAGTTCTATTGCACTGGTCCTGTACCTTTCTTCATAGCTTCCCCTCTTGAATAAAGTCTTCTTTACCATGTGTTGACAAGTGTCATTAATTTTTTTTCTTTAACAATGTACACGTTTTTATTTTCCTATTTTGAATAAATATTAATATTTGAGAGGTTAAAATCATACATTGTTATCCATACAGCTCTTTCTCTGTTACTGTGTTTTAGATTTTTTTTAACTTATTTTAAAAATATGTATGAAACAATTTACTTGAACTAGTATGTGAAATGCCATATGTTCAGATGTCATTTGATTAGAATCCAGAAGTTGACATTTAGGTAGCTTTAGTCAAACCTGTCTTAAAGATCCAGAATTAACAACTTGCAGTTTAATTTTGTAGAGACACTGACCTTCTTGGCTAATATATCAGTAAGTTCCTCCCCTTCTTGGTAACTTTTTAGCCTCATCATAACTCAGCATCTAGATCTTCTAAAATTTAGTCACTGGGCCTTCTATGTAAAACTCCATTGTGCCTGAAAGGCTCTATCTCAAGTAGCTATCCAGATCATCAGATTGGGACATTCTCTGGCACTCCACCTTCAGCACTCTCAGCTGCTTGCTGTACCAGAGAGCTAATGCCCTGAGGTGTGTCTGTGATTTTTTTCCCACTTCACAGTGCACCCGCTGCTTACCAACATACTGTATAGTCATTTCTTACCTGCTTGCATTGGGCTTTTTGAACAAATTCAAGATTACTTTCAAACTTTAATTTCTTGTGATTTAAACACCTTCAATTTAAGATCTAACACTCAAACATAGCATCAAGGAATGGGGGTTTTACCTTCCACCACTCTTTAAAAGAGTGTGTTTCATTTTGTCCTGCAACTCTTAACCTTTTAGGTTATAGACCCCTTGGACCACTAATGAAAGTAGTAGAATTCTACCCCCCACCAAAGAAACATTCAATAACAGAACATAGAAAGTCCTACATATAATAAGAACACATAATCATGAAAATCCTATTAAATATCAAAGAAATACTTTATCTAGTCACTTCATTTCTTCATACACAACAAGCACTGTGAAAAGAGAGAAAATAGGACTGACTGTTCCTGTTTATCTCTGCAAGTTTCTGTAGAAAGTAAAATATTCCTTTTTCCTTAAAAGTACAAAGTTTACAATTATGGATTAGATACCAGCATTTGACTCATCTCTTCTGAGAGTTCATTCAACTAAAAACAGCAGAAAGAAGCAAGTCACCAATAAACACCTTTCTGGAAGTTAGAAGATAGATGGGAGGGGGGTAAAGGAAGAAACAAGCCAGGAAGCTACAGCCCAGTGCACACTTAGCCAGGAGCTGGCAGCCCCACACTTCTCCATAGAAGACTCAGGGATAGAGATGAGTAATAGTGAGAACTGGGGCTGAAAACAAGGACAGTTAATGGAATGACTATAAGTGGGAAACTGCTCACACTTGTCCACTCTGTTCCTACCTTCCTATCCCCACTCAGGTAGCCTGCATTTTCCCCCATGCAAAATACCATATAGTTCTTGAAAGATCTTGAACAAAATGTCTGGGGACAGCTGAGGCTTGTAGTGTGGAAGCTGATGTTCCAAAATAAGTCTTTTTCATATTAGAATTCAGGGTTCTCTACCTGTAATGTGTGGTTCCCCTCCTCCAAAGTAATACATTTGTTTTAGTCTGCCCTGCCTTGCACCCCTTATTAGTAACCATTTTAATTAGTTTATGGCTTATCCTTCCAGCATTTCCTTTTTGCAAAGAACCATTTCCCTGTCCTTCTGCCCTAAATGTAAATGGACAACCAACGACCTTTTAGCAATAAGAAAAACAGAAAAATTAGTCCTAGAGGAAAGGGAGGTGACTTTAGAAGCAGAAGCAAATGTTTTAAATCATCTTATTAATATACTCAGAATAATAAGACAGTAAAATATTTTGAAAAAGAAGCATATAAGAAAAAGGTCTTTGAAATGTTACTGCTAAAATTAAAAAAAAATTCAGTACATAGACTAGAAAATATAATCGAAGTCTTAGGATATATAGAACAAAAAGATAAAAACGGGGAAAAGTTTAAAACTTTTATAAAAGAACAATTTAGGAGGTCCAAAGATTGTGCTTATTAAGAACCTCAGGAAAATGTTTAAAAAAAATAAAATAAAAGGGAGTGACTGCATATAGGCTTCCCTTTGGTGTGATGAGCATGTTCTGGAATTAGAGGTGATTGTGGCGTAACCTTGTGCACTGAAACCCACTCATCGGTGGTGCACTTTAAAATTATTAAACTGGTGAATTCTATGTGGGTGAATTTTATCTAAATTTTTAAAAATTATCTTAAAAAGGAAGAGAGTTACTAATACAGGTAGGTGAGTATTTCCCAAAGCTAGGGAGGGACTTAAACCTTTACACTAGAAGGGCCTTATGGGATCTTCATTTTCTTCTTTGTATTGCAAAATTTTATGAGGATTTTGCAGATACAGAACTTATTTCACTTATTCTGCTCTTTGGGGAGGATTAGAGAGACAGCAAGGATATGTAGAATTGAATAAAGCTGTGAACCACAGCAGGGGCTGTCTTGTGTTCCACAGAATATACTGCTCCATGAGTATTCTTTTCAAGCTCTGTGAACCTCTAATACCAAGACTTGGGGATTCAGGTCCTAAAAAACGCTGCAGAAAGAATCTCCCTAAGAAACTTCTGGTGTTACTGTTGTTGAATTTTGTTTTGACATTGTGGTTGTGGGGGGGAGGTTAGGACAGGAGTTAATTTTTTTCTTTGTCGATCTCTTTTGTAAATATGTAAAACTTACGTTGCAAGAATCAAAAATGAGTTATTAAAAGAAAGGATTTACTCAGAGAAGCTTTATTTTCATTCTGTCCCCTCCAACCCATCTTCTAACCCCATTCCTTATTAGTAATGATTTTTAACTTGTTTCTGGCCTATCCTTCCAGCATTTCCTTTTGAAAGTATAAGTGAATACATACATATATACCATACTACCTTACCTTTTCCTATCCCCTGCCACCCTGTCTTATGCAAAAGGCAGCATACTGTATACCCAGTTCTTCATCTGGAAGTGTGTGTCTGTGGATGATAGATACTAGTTGTACCATTCCTTAAATTTATTTCCTTTTTGTTTGCTTCTAACAGTTTATACATGCCTAATAGCATTTATCACATTTTATAGCTATTTTCATGAAATCATATCTTGTTCTAGACCATGAATGAAGTAGGGATGGAAACAGATAATATTAAATAAACTTTTTATGTCTGGCAGTAATAAGTGCACGATATGAGATTATTAGCTGAATTGTTGCTTATTCAGGCTGAGTAAATAAATAATAATATTATTATTCTGAGTAAATAAGGACATGAAAACTGTGAAGCAGATCATTTAATATAGCTCAAGAACCTCCAATCACTTGTGTTTAGGGTAAATTAAACCAGTTTCCAAACTAGGAATAGGGATATTTTTGAAATTTGAGGACTAAAATATCTGGGACTTGAGAACATTTATCTGTAGTTCTGAAACTGTGATCATATTCACAACTACACTATAAAAAGTTATTTGATTCAAAACATAATGGGGTGGAACAGCCAGTCTTCTCGGTCCCTTCGACTAAGTAAGAAATTAGTCAGGAGAGTGTTTTCCCCAGATGTCAGTCAGGAACAGTCCTATTTGTTTTGGTACTTTCCACTTTTAAAGTTTTGGGAATAAGTTGTCTTCGGTTCAGATCTGAGATCTGCAGTTTTACTAGCTATATGAACTTTTAGAGATGACTTAATCTAAGTACAAGGTTTTGGGGGGTTTTTTTGGTAAAATATGAATGATAATACTTGCACTGCACAATTGTTAAGAATACGTAACATGGTAAGGTCTAAGTACCTGACCTGGTAGACCTGGCCCAGAATGAATTCCCAATAAAAGTTAGTTCCAATCTTGTTTTCCTTCCCTCTTCTGCCTGCCAGTATATCACTCTGCCCACACTTTTCACATCTCTCAGATGCTACACACCCCAAAATTATATGTCTTCCTTCCTCACTAATCAGAATTCTTCTCTGAGCATAACCGTCTCAGCTAGGTAGTGGGAGAAAAGTAAGGTGATTCACCCTGATGATTAAGCAGCAGTTTTTAGAGCAGTGCTTTTTAACTCAGGTCTTTGGTAGTATATGTTTTTAAGATTTACTTATTTATTCCAGAGAGATAAAGAGGGGAGGTGCAGAAGGAGAGGGAA